GCTTGTATGCCAATGACAAGAAAAAGCTTCTCAAGCTAATACTCGTATTCCCTGAAGTAACCGTTTTGATGTCACGAACATGACATAGTGTCAGTGAAACTGCCTCGTGACAACAAATCATTGCATTTCCATCTTGGGGAAGACTGACTGACAGCAACGCTGTACAGATTGTTCAAATCATCTCATTTCAATTTAGTTGCAGTGAAGTGAAACACTGTGTACACTACATGTATGTTGGTGTGTCTGTGCGTCTTAAGTGTGCACACACGATCTTATTCCTCGTATTACTAATAGATTATTGTCCCCACCATCACCTGTTCACAGGTCTTTGAGTGGATTGATTTTCATTGAGCATCACATTCGTTGAGAACTTGGTAGTTGTGTGCTCCCATGCATCATTACGGTAATAAGCGTATCCTTGTGCTATCTATTTGTTGCAGGTGTGCTGATCTTCAGAAGCTTGCGGAACTGAGTGCTGCTGAACATTTACATGGCCATGAGCAATGGTGAAGCTTGCTATTGCACTCTCAGCATGTGCTAGTATTATGCTGACTACTGCACTATGTTACTCTCTTACACTACTACGTGTATGTAAACGTGCGTGTACCGTCCCCGTACGCATTCGTTTCGTATAATTATTTGTTATCCCTCTTGACTTTACATGTAAATGGGTGGACGTTTGCATGGCTGTTGGAGTTGCGTGTGTATTGTGCCTCTACTCTTTTCTTGGTGTTTTCTTGGCGTTGTATAAGTTTGTGTGTGTGTGTGTGTGTGTGTGTGTGCGCGCGTGCGCGCACAATAATTTGAAAACAAATAATTAATCCTGGGCTCTCCATTATTCTCTTTCGATTCTTGGTTTTTTTTCTAGGTATTTTCTTGGCGTTGTGTGGGTGTGTGCATATGTGTGTGCGTGCACAATAATTTGGCAACACTACATGATTGAGATATCGTAATTTGCAGCGTCTGCGAAGAGACCACTTGATTTGAGGATGGTGTTTGTAGGGTTTTTCATGTAATGAAGTGGCTGCAGTGGCGCCTCAATACATATTTTTTATCTTGAGAAGTGAATGATGTAAAGGATTAAAGGGAGAGGCCGTTTTCTGGTTAATATTCACTGCTTACAGCAGATCCTATGTCTATTTTCGAACTCGATAGGGGATGCCTAATTGGCTGGACTTTATACAGGGGTGTTGTCCACATAAAGACTCTTTATAGTTGATTTCAAAGTTTGGACTCCGTACAGTTGATTTTGGACCAATGGACTCTATATAGGGGTGAAGCCAATTGGCTGGACTCTATACAGGGAGTGATGTCCATCGAAACTTTGAGCTCACAGTTGATTCCAAGTTTGGACTCTGTACAGTGGATTTTGGACCAATGGACTCTATATAGGGGTTGGACATCATATAGGGGCTGGACGCTCTACTGAGTCCAACATATACATTCAATGATGTGTTACGAGAACAAAATACAGTGCCAAAATAGAAAGAGGGAAGGTGAGACAATAGCAGTGAAGTGAGAGCTAAGTGCAACGGTGGGTGAAAAACTAATAATTATAACGCTAAAACTGTGTAGTGCGACAAACAATCATGCTGTGCACCTACGAAAACAATTTTAACGCAACTACATGTTTCTTCTGCTTACATATATGGATGAGGCAAGCACTGATTGTGAACAACGAGAAAGAAGGCTGAAGGGAACGGAATTCAACAAAGAAAGTAACACAATCAACATTCAAAGACCTAGACGATCAACGGCTAATTATTCAATGAATTATTACAGTACTGGAGATCAAGCACCGGCGAGGACACTGGGAACACAAGATTTAACAACAACAACAACAACAACAATGGTAACAAGTTGCCATCAAGATCAAAGGAGTAGTCAACGAACAGAGGTTAAACAACGTCAAACGAGCCTGGGACCGATCAGTGTTGATGAGGAGAATGACACGGAGGACGACACTGAGGACGAGTTGGGAGATGAAACGGAGGACGAGGTTGCGGTTGTTGGAGACGAGGAATCAGATGGTGATTGTGATCGTAAGAAGTCTGCCGTTTTTCTTCACTTGTTGTCTCACCCTAAGTGTCTGCAGGTGTATGATGATTTTAGTTTTTCTGTTCTTTGTCGTGCACGGTATGCTAGTCAGTTGAAAGTACTTGAGGCTGTTTCTATTCGTTTGCATAAGCCTGATCTTTGTAAGCAGAAGAAACATGTAGTTGCGTTAAAATTGTTTTCGTAGGTGCACAGCATGATTGTTTGTCGCACTACACAGTTTTAGCGTTATAATTATTAGTTTTTCACCCACCGTTGCACTTAGCTCTCACTTCACTGCTATTGTCTCACCTTCCCTCTTTCTATTTTGGCACTGTATTTTGTTCTCGTAACACATCATTGAATGTATATTTAATCATTGTTCAGCATGGTTACTCTTCAGTCACGACTTTCCACTGATGAATGTGACAAGAAAATTAATTCTGGTAAACTTTCATGACTTCGTTGTAGTGTGGCGATGACTGCAGAATTTTTTCTTTTTATTGCTATTATAAAATTGTTGTCTCCACGTCGATTATTTTCTTTCTTTCTTTTTCTTTTAAGAAAGGGTTTGCTCCCCACACCGGAGCTCGCGCTATTCCGCCGACTTTACTTGACACTTGACTGACTCACGACTGCCATCCAGAGCACATGAGAAGTCCATCGAACCTTCGACTCGGCAAACCTTTCTTACAAATCATCGCCGAAGTCGCAACCACTACTTCGTTCTTTTCTTTTCTTTCCTTTATCATGTAATCACTGTCACTCACATACAAATACCGTCATAAAAATAAAAATAAACATTTGTACAACTAGAACACAGAAGTTAGGGGCTAACAAAATAAAATATTGAGTCGCGGCTGACTATCCACTGGCGCAGCTGTGTCGGTGGGGAGTTGTGAACTCCACCGACCAAATGTCTCGGAATCCTTGCACGCTACGTGCACTTGGGTAGTTATGAAGGAAAAAGGAAACGAAATAAGGCCATTTATCTAGTATGCTAGTCTGAAGTGTACACGTCGAGGGCAGCCGCACAGACTTGCTCGAGGAGGTGCCGGTACTCGCACACTGCTCCTGGTACCTGAAAGTGATTCCATGGTTACAGCGCTACCTTGGATGGAGGAGCATTCAGACTACCAGCGGGTAGGACATTCCAGGTGGAGAGTAGGCGGAATGGGAAGGATCGATGCAGGATCGACGTTAGGTCTTGTTGCGGGTAGGGCGGTTGGCAACTGGAAGGCGTACAGGGAGTGTTTCAATTGATGGCGGTATCGGATTCTATGGGCGGGTGGGCTCAGGGGAGGCAGGCGGCAGCATGATTATCAACTGGGCCGGACCTGAAATGCAATACAGCTTTTAAAATTAAATGGTAGCACAGTAGCCAGACTTGCTGACGCACTGATAAACTTTGAGGCATGGTCCCAGAGGCAATGCTGGGCATGCACCGTTGCTGGATGCGGTCGAGCTTAGCGAGGTTGGACCACGCGGCGACTGGCCAGACGAGGGGAACATACTGCATAGTTGGGAGAATGAAGACTTCCTATACACTTAGGCGGTCACTGCCATTAAGTGCTGGGCACACCTTTCTGCAAGGCGCTGGCTGGCTCTGGCTAGAACCTTTGAAATCTTGTTTTCTCACGATGGCCTGTGGCCAATAAGAGAGCCTTGTGGAGATGGTTGCGGAACAAAAGTTCGTGGTCGACGGCAATACAGTGAAGGAAGACATCCATCTCCTCTCTGATCGCGATACCATCAAAGTCGAGAGAAGAGGGTGTCTGTTCATTGACATCCATAGCACTTTGTCGGCTCAAACTGAACCTTACATCTCGATCTACATGCTTGAAGCTCATCGCGGACGCGGAAGACTTTCAGTGCTTTGAGCGTGGCAGGGGACACGTCATCGGCACGTTCTGTTGTCTGCGTATGATGCTAGCTAGCATTCATGGGAGAAACGATCGTCGTTGACATAAAGAAGGCGGTAGTTGGGCCTGTTCAGAAGGTCTTTCGACAAAGCACACTGCATGATTGTGACGTAGTGATGCAACTATCCACGACTGTACCAAGATAATAAGCACTTTCTGACTGCTTATGATATTGTTAAAGTCGTGGATAGCTGCTTAAAAACTCGTTTCCATGTGATTAATTCAATTTTCCCAAAAATATTGATTTTATGTTGTAGGTCGTTGAATTTCTCAGTAGCCTGTAAGTTTTGTGCCCTGTTATCGCACGTTCTGACTGCTTATTGCCTTGTTGCAGTCGTGGATACCGTACTCGCCCGATCAATGCCCCTGGGGCACTATGTTTGCAATGTCCATCACAGACGGAGCACTATTCAGGATAGGGCATTATTTTTTCAATGGTGGTATATTTTTCGTCATCCAGCTGGAGAACAGAGAAGGGAAAGAAAAACAGAGCCTAAAGTTTACTGTAACCAATCATTCCTCGAATTCTGCTCCGTTTCTTTAGCCGCATACCAAACATGCATGAAAACTACCAGAAAAAGTACCGAATTCTGCCAATTCGTCTGCCCGCATTATCCGCAAAGGCCTACTGTATGTAACAGCACGGCAGGAAAAAACTGCTCCCAGGCAGGACTTAAACCACGTACGTCTCGTATCTCAATCATGGTCCTTGACCAATCCACGGTGCCTGCCTATATCCCTTCGGGAACGGACACGATAATTTACTTTTTACTTACTCAACAGAAACGGCAGCAAGAAATGCGATTTTGATCCTGAAACAACTAGTGCAATGAGAATGACAAGAACATTAGCAAAAGAACACCAAACTTGCACATGCGCTTCGCTCCAAGCCCTGGGGTGGGGGTGGGGGGGGGGGCACTATTCAAGAGACGGGTGTATTTTTTCACTGGCTCTAAGAGACTAGGGCACTATTCAAAAGAGGACTCTAATCGCTCAAGTACGGTATGTTGTGCGCCATGTACTCTCTGTTTGTGTTGATCTCAGGATAATACTTTGGATGCATTCCATTCCGCACATTATCACAATACTCCACTGAATAGCTGGTACATGGACGGCGTCTCTATCACACATGGTTCTCCAATGCAACATCTCTGGACATACACAGGTAGTTTTAACGAAGTCGACGTTGCTCACTGCCCATGTAGTCCCAGAGCTGGTGCGCAAACTCCACCATTTGTTGGTAGTCATTACTATTGCGCCGACCATGGACATGCTTGGAGACGTTGGACATTTACCCCAGCTGCACATGCATGGAGCAACACCAGTCAATGTACTGCTGGTGGTACATGTTGTGACAACACAGATATGCCATGGTTTCATCGTCAACTCGACACTAGTACCTCTGCTCCAGTGCAAATTCGCATTTGTGCAAATGAGGGTAATTCGAATGAAAATTTTGGCATTGATGAATCCGCTATCTTTGTAAAGTAAATTATCCAGTGCTCTTCCATCTCAATTGGCTGAGGTTTAATACATGATTGTATCTTTGCCAAATGCCAACCATATGATAGGGAACAAAAAAAGGTTTAAAACCAATACGTATGTTGAGTTGCACATTCAACCACACACCATTGGCTAGGATTCAGTATCCTTTTACGTTTTCGCAATTAATTTTCAAGTATAGAATTTACACGTCAACTAAATATTTTCTCTGCTTTGCACTTACTACTAAAAAAAGCTGGACCTTTTTTTCCTTTTTGTCGCACTTGCATCTTTTGCCATATGCAATACTGGTAGTCGTCTTGATGTGTATGTTCAGGTAATCGCGTAATTGCCCAGCAGCGTGTTGACGTTCTCTGTGGTATTATCTATACTGTACGCACCTTAGCACACTGCTTTCACTACCACCGGCATGCAGCTTAAGATTATTATATTTTTTGCATGGTGCTAAACAGTACGCCAACTGGGGATACGTTGATTCTAATTCCCTCTCTGATTGGATTGAGAGTTCGTGGAGAACTTTGAAGGCCGACAGCGCATAGGAAGGAGCAGTGAAAGAATGAAATAACTGGGCACCGCTGCCCGATCATGAGGGTGATGGATACATGTACATGTATGTTCTTTCCAAAGTAGCTGCATGTACAAAAGCATGATGCTACGTTTCAGTCACCTATTGCAGATTACAGCGAAGTGACGGGGGTTGTCACTGGGTAGGTCAACGGGGTGAGTGAAAGATTGTGTCACGTTCTAGTTCAGATTTCGGAAGTAGCTGTGCCTGAGTAGTTAGGACTCTATCCTCTGACACACTATCAACAAGAGAACCAAAATGATACGCCAAATTTGACAAGAATACTTGAAGAGCCAACTGTTGAAAACATGATAGGCTTGAACGCTTCCTGCCGCTTTATACCTGAAGCATCATTTCCTGATGACGGTCCAAGTCCGAACCGTCGGAGAATAAAAACTTGAAGTGAAATGAAATAACAGCTTGAGTTTGAGTGGTTGTTGCCTGACCAAACCAAAATCACTGCCGAATATGTGTGATGTAATTGATGGAGAGATACACGAGCCAATATTTCGTGAAAAACCCTTTGCCAAAGTGCTCTACCTCTTTCGCTGTCATCATGGATTTGTGCCTTGCAACTTGCGCTTTACGCGACGGCACCACAACAACTAGACTTGACTGCTAAGTACGTTTCTTCAAGGTTGGATTCATCATAAAAAGTAGTCATCTTATTGGATGATTGTACAAGAACAATTTGAATACTGTAGCTATATCTATTAGTTCAGCATAATTTTGATTCTGCCACAGTCGCCAGTAATTACATACCTGGCCGCATATACTCACGAATCACTGGCAGCCCTGAATCTTTTATTCAAAATTCAATGTGCCTAAGCATACCTACATGCATCATGAATGTCTGGAGTGGCGGAGCGGAATGCTCCAGCGCGTAGGTAGACGTGAACACTACGTAGGGGTAACTGGAAATACTATGTCCAAGCCATTTCGGTATTAAAGAGGTGCTAGGTTGCCTAGTAACCGTATACGAGTTTGTTTCATAAGGAATATCTGAAGTACCGGACTCGCAGGATTAGAGCCCCTCTTGAATAGTGCCCCCCCCCCACAGACTTGTAACGAAGCACATGTCCACGTTTGGTGATGGGCTTGTCTATGTCATTGAACTGGTGGTTTCAGGATCGAAATCGCAGTTCTGGTTGCTCTTTCTGTCGAGTCGTGATAGTTAACATTAAACTTTAGGCTATGCTTTTCTTTGTCTTCTTTGTTTTGTTCGGGATAACGTAAATGTACCAGCATTGAGAAACTAATTATCTCTCTTGAATAATGCCCTCTCCTGAATAGTGCCCCATCTGTGATGGACGTTTAAAACTTGGTGTCCCGGGGGCACCAATCGAGCGAGTACGGTACCTCTAGCTGCACATAACGTAGCATGCTCTCTCTCTTTTTTGTATTTCTGGATTTAACTTTGGATTCGTTCGTTGGCACCGGAAGTTCTGGTAGTGTCCCATTGAATAGCTGATACGTGGATGGTGTCTCTATCACACATGGTTCTCCAATGCGTCATCTAAGGACATACGCAGCTGGTTTAGGTGATCATGGCTCAGCGGTTCACTGTCCTTGTAGCTCACAACCCCGTCCACCACCTCCATCATTTGTTGGTAGCCACTAATATTGCGCTGATCAAGGACCTGATTACAGGCCCTGGACATTCAGCCCAGCCAACCATGCATAGAGCAACACTAGTCAATGTTCTGCTGGTGCTAGTGGTACTTGTTGTGACAACACAGATATGCCATGGTTTCATCGTCAACTGGACACTAGTACCTCTGATCAAGTACAAATACGCATATGTACAGGGCGAGCACCTTTGGGAAAGGGCTACGTGTTGGCATTGGAGAATCCTTAAAATATTAAAAATAATAATAATTTCGGCCAGTCGGCTACTATCATTTTCGTCTTGGGGGTTAGACCAGGAAAATTAGCCATGTAGGGGCGTGAGCCCGCCTTTCGGCACCAGGAAGTTGCAGGTCAAAATAAATAAATAAATAGAAATGGTCACCAACGTTCGTCCGCCTTCTAAACACCTCTATTGAAGGCTAGGCCGTTGCGGATAATGCCGGCAGAAAAATTGGCAGAATTCGGTACTTTTTCTGGTAATTTTCATGCATGTTTGGTATGTGGATAATGAAATTGAGCAGAATTCGAGTAATTGCCCGCCATAAGGTTTATTTATTTTTATTTACTGAAGTATTTATTTATTTATTTATTTATTAAACATCTCCTGGCCCGTCCGAAGACTGCCAATAAACATGAGAGGTCAGGTGATAGCCAACCACGGCAAGCTAAAAGGGAAAAAAAGAAAGATGCTGTCAGAGAGGGAAAGGAGATAGGGAGAGAAAAAGAAAGGGAGGCACATTAATAATACCTGGGATCACTTCGGATGAGACAGTGTGGAAAGCTGGACTGTGAATTTCCTGATATCCTGGCATGTCTTAATGCTAGTAGGCAGGTTAGACCAAAGGGAGTATGCTGAGAAGAAAGGGGATTTCAAAAACAGAGAGGAACTAGCTCGGGGCAGTGATAAGGCATTGCGTGTTGGTCTAGTGGTAACAAACCAGTTGTACTTGGCAATATGTTTCGGGACTTGAGCTAGGAAGATTTTTTGCACAAGGATACAAAGATGCTGCTGATGTCGGGCAAGAAGAGGGTGCGTGGAAGCAAGTTTATAAAGACAAAGGGAGGCAAATGTTTGGTCTTTTCGAAACAGAATTTTCAGAAGCAAGCGTTGATGTACCTCCAGTCTGTGGAGTAAAGTCTGAGACAACCCGCACCAAGCTATATCGCAATAGTCAAATATAGGCAAAATGTACGACTTAAAGAACAATTTTCTGCAGTTATCATTCAAGTGTTGGCAGTGGGGTTGTAGCATACCTAAGGACGCACTCGCACGCTTGCACACAGACTGGACTTGTGGAGACCAGGAGAGTTGGCGGTTGAGAATAACGCCCAGGTGCTTGTGCTCGTTAACAACTTTAATAGGTGTACTATTTAGACCAGGAAAATACAGAAGTTGAGTGGGGGGCGAGGGAGAGAAGAACATGGCCTCGGTTTTGGCGAGGTTAGGCTTCAGTTTCCAGGTTTCCATCCATGTTACTGTAGCGTTGACCCCGGACTGCATGGAGGCCGTGAGGTTGTCTGCCGAGCTGTCGGAGCACATCAGAGCAGTGTCGTCAGCAAAAAGACTTACATTTGGTACAAGGGCTGGCAAGTCATTAACGTACAGTAGAAATAGGAGCGGCCCAAGTATGGACCCCTGGGGTACCCCAGACACGACTAGTAATGGGTCTGATAGGGAGGTAGATACTCTGACAGTCTGGTGGCGGCAGGAAAGATAGGATGAGAGCCATTGCAGGGCTGGACCGTGTACCAAGAAGACGGACTCTAGCTTTGCAAGCAGACCACGATGCCAGACGGTGTCGAAAGCTTTCGCTAGGTCAAAGAACACGATGCCAACATGCCGCCTGAGGTTCCGCTGGGTGTAGATGTCTTGTACTAGACGTGTTAGTTGGAAAGTTGTGGAGTCTCCACGGCAGAAACCGGATTGAGATGGTGAAAGCGCTGGGGTGACGTGGCAGTACAGAGACTCAAAGAAAATACGTTCACAGACCTTGGACACAGCGGGAAGGAGAGAGATTGGTCTGTAGTTGCCAGCCTGAGAGCGTTGGCCTTTCTTATAGATCGGGACGATAACAGCAGATTTCCAGACGGACGGAAATACTCCTGTACGATATGACATGTTAAAGAGCAGGCACAAGGGATAGGACAGAGATGGCGCAAGCCATTTGAGAACCTCATTGGGTATGCCATCTTCGCCAGGGGACTTACAATTCTTCAGGAGTTTGAGGTGCTTACAGACGGTAGCAGTCGTGGTAACGACGCGTGTGAGTGGTGCGCTAAGTTCAGGGGCTGGGGACAGCGATGGAATGACCCAATTCGGATCTTCCGGAATGCCGGATGAAACAAACTGCTTGTTCAGTGTGTCTGCAATCGCCTTCACATCGTGCTGGCGGTTGCCATGGGAGTCCGTCAGGTACTGGATTGGCGCGCGGGAGGTCCCGCGGCACTGGTTGCGAATGAATTGGTGGAGTGATGGGCGATCGGGGGAGGAGAGTGTTGCAGAAAGAGAGTTTAGAAAGGAGCGGTGTGAGGTACGAGAAAGGTGCTTGACGAAGTTGCGTTGAACTCGGTAAGCCTCCCGGTTAACCGGCGTTGGGAATTTCTTGTAGATGCTGAAAAGATCACGCTTGCGCTTCACTTCAGATACGAGGGACCGTGTCACCCATGGGGGACTAGATGTCGAGGATGTTGGGTTGGAATGTTTCCGGTTGTTGTAGCCGATAGCAAAGTTAGAGAGGTGCTGTTGGAAGGTTTTTAAGGTTCTGCCAATTTCACTGCTTTTAGAGCAGAATCTGCCACCTTTTCGAGCAGAATCTGCCACCTTTTCGAGCAGAATCTGCCACCTGTTCGCGCGTTATCCGCCAATGCCTATTCAGGGCACTTGTCTGTGAGGAAATGAGGCATGCCATATTTGAATATGAATAGTGATCATGTCGAGATTGCCAGATTGCCCACAGCGCAAAACCTATGCGAGTCCAACTGACAGGTCACCACTGCAAATGTGTTTCAGTGTGCGACTCCGTGGCAAAGCAGCTACAATCATGTAGAATCATTCTACTACATGTAGTACCCAGTGTTTCAGTGTGTCAGTGTGTCAGTGTGTCAGTGTGTCAGTGTGTCAGGAACCTCATGGACCACAGCCATGGCATTGCAGTTTGACAGTGCATGTTGGATCCGAGACACATACGGCCACCACCGTTACTGGAGCGCGCAAGCATTCGAGCTCAGTCGCACAGTTGCGCGAAGACTATTACTAGAATTGTAGAAGTAGAGAGTGCAGACGT